TTTTTTATCCTTCCAGCTTTTGGCACCACCAAAGATTATTATTATTATTATTATTATTATTATCGTCATAATTATTATTATTATTATTGTTATTGTCATTATGAATATTATTATCACCATCATTATTGTTATTATTATTATTACTATTATCATCATTATCATCATTATCATTATCATCATTGTTATTACTATTATTATCATTATTAATATCATTATTATCATCATTATTATTATTATTATTATCGTCATTATTATTATCATCATTATTATTATTGTTATTGTCATTATGATTATTATTATCATCATTATTAATATTATCATTATTATCAGTATTATTATTCTTATTATTATTATTATTATGTCCATACACGTCACATATATAGGAAAGAAAATGCAGGAAAATGAACATCATGTAGGATTAAAATAAGATGGTTTTAAAATAAGATGGTTTTCCTGTTTACTAAATTAAATCCATAAACTTCCATAAACTGGAATAAAACGTTTAATCTAAATCATTTTAATCTTTTTTTTAAACGTCCCCAGTAGGGAAGATGGAAATGTGATAAATGTGAAAAAGCTCTAAATTCAGATTAAAAGTCAAAGCTGTCAGAAAAACTGGATCCTTCTTAATCAGAAATAAAAATATCTTCTCTTCCCTTCTGTAAGTTTGATGTATAAAAACGAAGTAAAGTCGGTTTGGTATCACGTTCTATTGATTGTACTTGTAGTTATTTTCCTCTAGAGCCTTTAAATTCAGAGTAAAAGTCAAGAATGGATCCTTCTTAACCAGAAATAAAGAAAATCATTTCATTTATTGCACATCAATTACAAATCTTCAGTTTTGGATATAAACATTATGAGAAAAGTAACTTACAAAATATGTAAAGTAGGAAATTATTTTTTGGGGCATTTTAAACATGAAAAAAGTCCTTTTCTAACTGAGAACAGCTTTTAGGGCTGCTCTTCTGTGAGTTTGATGCCTTAAAACGAAGTAAACTTGGTTTGATATCATGTTCTATTTTCTATCTGTAGTTATGTCCCTCCAGAGCCTTTAACCCTATAAAGCCAAATGTGTCATATTTGGATAAAAGCATCTGCCAAATGCATAAACATAAACACAAACATTTGACACGGTTTCTGAAGTATTTTGCATCATTCAGTGGTAAAAGCTTTGCTCAAACCCCTGTTGTACACATTCAGATATACCTGATAACAGCCAGTAGAAGACTACACCAACATATATTTTTGACTTATTGCACGCTAATTTGATCAAAATAATTCCTGTTTTGTTTTTTTTCATATGATCAAAATAATTTCTGTTTTTTTTTTCTTCATATGATCAAAATAATTTCTGTTTTTTTTTTCTTCATATGATCAAAATAATTTCTGTTTTTTTTCTTCATATGTTGTTGAGGGGCCAAAGAAAGACTTCAGACTAAAAAAATCCAATATTCTTCATATTTTTCCTGGATCAGGCTTTAAAGGGCTAAAGCTGTTTTTGGGGGCTTTTAAAGCTATTTTGGGGGCTTTTAAAGCTATTTTGGGGGGATTTTAAAGCTGTTTTGGGGGTCTTAACCCTATAATGCCATATGTGTCATATTTGGATAAAAGCATCTGCCAAATGCATAAATATAAACATAAACATTTGACTCGGTTTCTGAAGTATTTTGCATCATTCAGTGGTAAAAGGTTTGCTCAAACCCCTGTTGTACACATTCAGATATACCTGATAACAGCCAGTAGAAGACTACACCAATATATATTTTTGACTTATTGCACGCTAATTTGATCAAAATAATTCCTGTTATTTTTCTTCATATGTAGTTGAGGGGCCAAAGAAAGACTTCAGACTAA